GCACCCTCTCCCTCCCTCCCTCCCTCTCCTCAATCCCTCCCCACTCCTCCTTCTCCCTCGTTTTCACTGCCGCTGCAAAAGGTATCCTGTATTGATTTTATCACCCTCCCCTCCTCTCTTAATAACACCGACTATAATGATGCCAGTGGTGATCAGTGCATTACTCTTTGGGAAGGGATGAATAAGGAGAATCTGTGGATAGTTTAGCGCRTGCGCACAATTAAGTTATCTCATTACCAGTGCTTTTAATAGCCCCCCTCTTTTTCCCCTGACTGGAAGAGGTGGGTAATAGGTGCAGATATRGATGCAGGAAGACAGAAGATGCTAGTTTTACAGGATGACATGAGGGCTTGTGCTCCTCYCCAGCTCATCCTTAAAGTTAGAAATCAAACATGATCAAAGGTTCTCCTAAATTATATCAAATGGTCTGGTTTACTCCAGTAGTTTTCACTGATCTGCAACTCTGAAATGCAGGTACACAATTAATGTAAACAAAACACTCTACTGAATCCACCAAACTAGCTTGAGTCAGGTGAGTGACTGAAGTTAAGCTGATACAATCTGCGGACAAAGATGGTGGAATCAGACAAGCGTACAGGATCTCAGACGTTTAGATGGAAACAATGAAAACGAATCGTGAAAGAAAATAAAAAAAACGAGTGAGACGGCTGCTGAGAGTAAATGTTGGAGATTAAACAAGAAGGTGGCGACCACAAAGAGGTGGTATTCAAATTYGTGCAGCTTTTGCGAGATTTCTTCTAGACCTTTCAATTTATTGTTTTGTTTTTTACTCAATCCCCAGCAGCGTTTCCACAGTCATTGCTATTGTAGACCTCTTTTCAATTGCTTCAGCTCTTTCTGCGAGTAAACAAAAAGTAGTTGGCAGCTATTTGCAAATTTTGCTTACAAATCTTAGTTTAAAGTGAACATATGCTTTTAAATCCTGTTTTTCCACATTTAAATCATTCAGCTGGGGTCTATATAAAGTTGAACTGCAGTTCTTTGGTCTGAATTCCTCCTTATTGTAACTCCACAAGCCCATCTTTCATCCCTTTCCTGAGGTGCGTCTCAGATCAACTCGTTTTGAGGCTGTCTCTTTAAATCCAAAAAGCCACTTCACACCCAGCCCCCCTCAAGCTTCCAGAGGGGTCCATTCTAGTTTGATAGAGGGGTTTCCAACTATATTGCTGTGCAGAAACTTTTAAAATACAAATTAATTAAAAGATATCAACAAGGGAAGACTTGTCCACATAGTGGGGAGAATGAAGACGACCAAATTGTAGTTGGTAAGTCCAGACCGTATTTGGCAGTTCTGTCTCAAATACTGTGATGTAATAGTTCAGAAAATGTAACAGAGAATAGAGAAAACTGAACAGGTAGAAAAATATGACCCATAKAAAAGGTATCTACGCAGCACTGGGAGAGACTCGGTTCAACTTTTCTGACTGCAAGTACACAACAAAATGCATTTAACAGCTAAAAAAGTGGATTTTGCATTATCTGTCCCCTTTAAGGGCACTTTAACCATCRATTGAGAAAAATAAATCGTTCTGTCGTCATCACGTTGCAGCACGCTCTTCTACATCAACCCAATTTTTGAAAGCATGCCGGACGAAAAGATTCGCACCTTCCTGCTCACTGCTCCTCAGCACACCCACAGACATCCATAGACGCCCTATTGGAAGCTGAATGGCATAACCATGTCGTGGCCATATTGGAGGTGGCAGAGAGGAGAAAGCAAAATGCCTCGTAGTTGTGCGGTTTGGAAATATTCCAACACTTCAGATGTACAAACAAAATAAGATGGAATTACCTTTCACATGTAAGGCTTAACACTTACTAGACTGTATTTTAGCCATAGTCTGCACGATTTTCATCATTTTAACAT